ATCGTTTAAGTGTGACAAATATGCAAAAAATAAAAAAAAACAGGACGGGGGCAAAAACCTTTTCACGGCACTGTATATAACATATATATAAGGCACACCTTGCAATAATCATGCTGTCTAATCAGCATCTTGATATGCCACACCTGTGAGGTGGATGGATTATCTCGGCAAAGGAGAAGTGCTCACTAACACAGATTTAGACAGATTTGTGAACAATATTTGAGAGAAATAGGCCTTTTGTGTACATAGAAAAAGTCTTAAATCTTTGAGTTCAGCTCATGAAAAATGGGGGCAAAAACAAAAGTGTTGCGTTTATAATTTTGTTCAATATATATATATATATATTACATTTTTAAGTGCTGTGCTTTAAGTGCTGTGATTCCTGTGGTGTGCAGAATTAATTTTAAAATGAATCTGAAAATATAAATATAAAATGTTTATATAAAAACAACATTAATTTAATAATAATACATTTGTGTATAGTAATTATATTGTACTCTCTCTCTCTCTCTCTCTCTATATATATATATATACACACACACATATACACTAAGCAATAAAAAATTATAAAATGTGTCCGCATTCAAATGTACCGTCTGTTCCTGTTTCCATTGACACCGCAAACCATGCAGCTTCTTTTTTTATTTGATTTTTATAATCCTTTATAGATGTATTATATAAAATAGGACGCTGCGCTACTGCTAAAATTAACGCTTCCACAGAGATGTCACGCAGTGACGTATCGATCTTCTACTGGTCACACGTCTTCACGTGATGCGAATTCGCAGGTCAGAGTTCACCAAACTTGAACTTTGGAATGCAGCGAAATGCGAAAACGTTTCACACAGGCTTACGTTTCGGGTCTGACGCATTCGCATATGTATGAATGGAAGTCAATGGAACGAAAAGTTTAGTGTGACAGCGGCTTAAAGGCTGCCTCCTTAACGCACACCTGAAAATGATGGAAGTCAATGGAACGAAAAGTGCAGTGTGACCGCCCCTTTAGACGGTTTCATTGGGCGCACGCACCTGGGCCGAAGTTAACTTCCAGTCTGTGTTTGTTTATCAGTCTGGCTATGGTGCCGGCTACAAACGCAGTTAAGGTGATGAGTAGACTGAAGTTGGGCTCAGGTGGTTGTGCTGTGGGATGCGTTTCCCATACATTTATTTATTTGTGGTGCTCGTCACAATATCAAAACAATATCAAAACCTTTCCAAAAGGCTTCGTTGAATAAACAAGCACGCTACTGCACGTTTAAAAATCAAAACGAGGAGCGGGTGTCTTTTTTATCACTGTATTTGTGAACGAAGACTATATTTAGAAAATTTTCAATGTCATTTTCATTTCATCTTGCATGTTATATGCCTGATAAAGCAGCGTTTGTGAGCTCAGCGCTGCTTTGTGTACAGCCGTTACTGGGGAAACCTGTTTCTCCCGCTTTAAAGCATCTGCTGGCAGAGAATGAATGTGCATTTTCAGTAAGTCCGTCTGATTTACGCAGGAACAATATTTTGCTTTTCCTATATCCACAGGCGCTGCGGATAATCCGCTGGTTGGGTAATAAAAATGAATTCGGATTATTTCCACACTGGCGATGACATGACTGCTGCATCATTTACGTCCCCACGCATCATATACATCGTCACTCATCGACGTCATTAAATTGCGATCGGTTTG